TCTTGGTTCTAAATTTTCTCCTAGTTACATGGAACTGGTGCTCATCTATTGAGTCTGTTCCCCTCAATTTTTGTCACCATCCTTATTGACAGGCCTAACTGAACTGTGTGGACTGCCAGACTTGGTTTACACAATCCTAGGGTTGATGCTACTCATGTAGAAAGTCATAAAGGATTAAGAAGACTTGGTATTTGAGCAAATTCCCCCTCATCCTGCCTAGGAGGTTAGCAAAATCACAAGCACACAGTGTCTCTTTCTCAGATCTGATCATTGTGGGGTAACTGTGCTGACTCACAAAGCCTTAAGTATGGTGCAGGACAACCCTATGTTTCTTTCTCCCATTTTTATTTTTGTTTTTGGGTCACACCCAGCTGTACTCATGGTTTACTCCTGGCTGTGCACTCAGGGATTACTCCTGGTGAGCTCAGGTGGACCATATGGGGTGCTGGGATCAAACCAGGCTCAGTTGCATGCAAGGCAAGCGCCTTACCTGTTATAGTTCTGGCCCCAAGCCCCATGCTTCTATTTGTGAGAATGTGGGGTTCTAAATGAATTTATCAAAATAAATCAATTCACAAATAACACTCAAAACTATTGTGAGGAAAATGGAGAAGCTCCAACTCTAAGCAGAGGAGATGCAAGAGAGTTCTCTATCAAATGCAGTGTGTGCATTCACACATGCACTTTCCTTCTTTCCTTGCTCATCTCTGAACACCAGAGAAATTCAGACACTTGTAAAACCTGAGGAAACTGACAAAATAAATGAATCACACACACACACACACACACACACACACACACACACACACACACACACACAGAGAATGAACTGCCTTATCAGTATGTGAACCAAGTCACCAAAAAATGGGCTTACTTGGTTCAGTCGTCAATTATTCTTTAGTACATTTTTGAGTGCCCTGTGTGTATAACCCCCGCCCCTTCATCAAAATATGCCCTTTGCACCATTTGTTATTATTCCAGTTCTGTTCTCTCTCTCCTGAGAAACCAAATGCCTTTCTTGGGATCTTCTTGGTCTAGTCCAACTTTCCTTCTGAATCATCTTACATAACCATGTTGCCCTGCCCTTTCTGGTTTCACCTGCTGGCTGAGTCCCAGCTTACCAGGAAGTGGTAAGAGCCAATTCTGACCTCACAGGGCGTCTATAGCCACCTGTCCAGTTCAGATTAACAGGTCACTAGGCCGCCCAGAACACTCTCCTCCCCAGCCTTTCATGGGAAGGAGCCCTCAATTTTCTAAGGAAAAAAAAAGAACAAAAACTTTAAAGTGTTGGCATCTTTCACAATACAATAATACTTTCAAATACCAGAATTACTGATGACTGGGGGCTGGAGCAATAGCACAGTGGGTAGGGCGTTTGCCTTGCACGCAGCCGATCCAGGTTCGATTCCTCCACTTCTCTCGGAGAGCCTGGCAAGCTACCAAGAGTATCTCACCCACACGGCAAAGGCTGGCAAGCTACCCGTGACGTATTTGATATAACAAAAACAGTAACAAGTCTCACAATTTGTTGTGAGATGTTACTGGTGCCCGCTCGAGCAAAACTGATGAACAATGGGTAGAGAGTGCTACAGTGCTACTGATGACTGGGAAGTTTAACCCAAAACTGCCTAATGCTTTCTTCTAAGAACTTAGGTGACCTATGAAATGGAAATTCTGTAACACTCCACATTCGGGGGGCTGGAGCTATACAGTGCGTAGAGTACTTGCCATGCGTGCAGCCAACTAGGTTCGATTCCCAGCACCCTATATGGTTCTTTGAGCCCTGACAGGAGTGATCCCTGAGCACAGAGCTAGGAATCAGCCCTAAAGACTGCAGAGTGTTGCCCAAAAGAAAAAAAAAACTCCACAATTTTTGCCTCTACAGGAACCAAACAAGTTTACTCTGATCTCTGTTATCAAACTAAACAATAATACTTTCTGGAAAGAAGCAAGGTAAAAGATGCCACAGAAGGAATATGGAATGCCAGGAAACAAGCAAGAATACCAGATGAAACATCACGTGAGTCCAGAGACATACCTTTCCCCAGGGAAAAAGACATCAGATAATGATATAGATCTAATTACTCAATAAGAACATTAATCATTGTAATCTCCCAGGTATTATTCTATTTTTCAGGAAAATACTTATTGAAGTAAAACTAGACCATAGCATCTCACATAAATTTCAGCTATATGTCACTGTAAAAGTAATATGATGTAATACTAAATGTAGTATAATGCATATACTGGATCAAGTTCACCACTAAAAGTTTAAATCCACACTGTCTCATAAAATTGATCCCTTTTGCCCTATTGCTCCACCTCCTTAGTTTCTGGTTACCACTAACTTGGTCACAGTCAAATTTTATTTTCCTTTCCTTTAGTTCATTGTATTTCAAATGATCCCAAATATGACTAGAATAAAATGGGAAAAAAACACATGATTTTTAAAAGATAAAATTTCAAGGGCCAGAGGGATAGTGCAGAAGATGGGACATTTGCTGTGCTCACGGCTGACCTAGGATCGACCTCCAGCACCCCATAAGGTGCCCCAAGCTCCACCAGGAGTGATCCCTGTGCACACACTCATCCCTGGATGCTGCAACGTGTGAACAAAAAATAAATAAATAATTGAGACTTCAAAGAAAGCTTCTCATTGCAGTTCTCTGTTGCTATGTGGAGTTTCCTGCAAATAACTCTCATGCTTTGAATGCTATCTGAGTCTCTTTTGAGAATTGTTTCAGCCATACTATGGACTTCATTAAAGGCAGGAATCCCATTCCATCCTTGTCTTTGCTTAGAAGGGACTTACTTAGGACAAGCTAAATTTCTAAGATGAAACTAGCTCTCAATGATGTTTGCAGAATTAAGTTGGCAGAAATGATGGCATTGGTATTATCAGTAACAAAAGATTGTAACCACATTTGGAGAGGAGGGAAGGTCAACAGCTGTATGAAAAAGTGGAATGGAAGTCATCCAATTTACCAAAATAGTTAGTGGCTGCCATGGTGATAATCAGATGAAACAGTTCAGTCTAGTTCTTTTCCATTGGGGTTAGTACAGGATGGCAAATATTGTACTTGTTAATCTAGCATCAGAGCAGGGTGGGGCTTAGAATACAAACCTAGTAGGTCACACTGGTGAGCCTTAAACTTAATAACTTCTGGAGCTTTAGGGAAGGTGGTGTGATAACAAGGTCATCAATAATATGAAGTGCTGACTTGCCTACTAATCCTAGTAAGGTCATTTGAGTCACCTTAAGGTCAAGTGTCAAAATATTTGCTGCTATGAGTCAATAAGAGGAGAGTGTTTATTTGTATGTTTGTGCCTATCCTGACTCCTCTTTTCCTTTATTCCTCAGAGTCGTACCTTTTTAACCGACTGGAATAAAAAACAGGTAGAGAAGAAAGATGATCCAAAGAATATAGTGGAAGCGATGTTTAAATGTTCCTACTCCCTTGGCGGAGCCACTGCATGATAACTCACTAGTAAATAAAGTCTATACATATGGGTATCACGCCTACTTTCTCTACACACAATCCCTCCTACACTGCAATGAGTCACTTCATGCCCAGATCCAAACTGGAAGGAGACATCGGGTGGAGAAGAAGGAAGAGGGGACACAGCCCTGCAGCCTCAGCTGTGAACCACCCTGAAAGACCACCTACAACCCCTAGAGCTGTCTGAGTCCTATGTCTCTGGTAGTTGAACTGCCAGCCAAAATGATGCCTTTCATCGCGAATTTAATAATGTGCCAGACTGTCATCAATTGTCAGCTAAAATCCAAATAAAACGTATAAACACACTTTTCAGCACTCAGAGGAAAATGTGGGAATACGGAGACATTACTAAAACATCAAAGACAGACGCAAATGAATCCCAACAGAATGGAGCTTAGAGTGTTCCCTCCTTCCCCTTACCCTGCATTCCTGCTGCCCCTGGGAACTAAGAACATGCTCTGACATCATCTCTGTGTGCGCATGGGAGTAGAGAATTTGTATGAATTTGTCATTTTACTGTTTCATGGAAGTGGGAGATTTTTTTTTTCAGTTCACAATATATGGGCTCAAATCTACCCCCCCGGGGACCCTTGTTTTTAAGCGAGCAAGTTTCTAAATCTCATTTGGTCTAACTTTGTGAGTCTAACTTTCTCCATCCATCAGAGACATAAAAATCTACCTCCCAGGGGTTGTTCTGAACATAAACAGGCGAATCTGCAAAATGCCTGGCATGGAGCAGAAAGCAGTGAACATCTGATATTATTAGTACGGGGCGATCTAACTGTTTCACCATTATCCCAAGAAAACAAGAGAAATCTAAGGCCTGTGCCAACACAGGTCACCAAACTGGCAAACGGTCCTCCCCTCCCGGCACAGCCGGAGCCCACAGTGGCCCTACCCTCATCATGATGCGCGCAGCTTCACCGGGATCCCGAGGATGTGGCTAGACGCATTTCGGGGAGCCTGGATGGTACTTGCCCCTCTCCGAGCGTGCCTCGCTCCCTTTCCTTAGCCGCTAAGAGTTTCTCAGCTGTGCGGGGCTCCGGGCTCACTTGCCGCGGGACTCCAGTACTGTATGAAACGCCTGGGATGGAACCCGCGCGCAAAAAAAGCAGGTGCCTGGTGGAGGGATGGGTACTTGATCATTGTATAACTGAAACCCAAGCACAAAAATTTATAAGTCTATAACTGTATCTCATGGTGTTTCACTAATAAAAAAATTTAAAAAAAAACACAAACAACAACAACAAAAAGCAGGTGCCAGCCGTGCTGTCACTGCAGCCACTTCTCAACCTTTCCCCGACGGGCCTGGGCTCCCCTGTCCTACCGACTACCCCCACCCCGTTTATACCACTGTCCCCTGTGCCCCTTATACTAGACCGTGGGTGCCATATGGTCCGGCGGAGAAACGCCGCTCTAGGGGCCAGAGGCACGCAGCGGATCGGGTGCGCCCCCAGGGAAGCCCCCTGCACGCCCGCACGCCCACACGCACGCACCCACCTGGGAATGAACTGGGCCTCGTCCCCGAGGCGGCTCTGGAAGTCCTGCCACGCGCGGCCGGGGTTCGCGATGCCCTCCGGAGCCAGCAGCCCCTGCGACCCGCCCTCGCCGTCCGCGCCGTCCTCGCCGTCCGCGCCGTCGGGGGTCGCTGCGGCCCGCTCGCCCTCGGTCCGGAGCCGCAGCCCCCCGCGCCGCGAGCCGCGGAAGCCGCGCGCGAACTCCTGGAAGGTGATGGCACCGTCGCGGTCGGCGTCCAGCCGCTGGAACACGGCGTCCGCGTCGGCCGGCCGCACGCGCAGCTCCGCGCACAGCGCGCCGAACTCGTCGCGCTCCAGCCGGCCCGAGCCGTTGGCATCGCACGCGGCGAAGACCGAGCGCAGAAGCGCCAGTTCCTCGCGCTCGGCCGCCGCTTCCATCCCGCGGGAGCCGCCGGGAGGAGTCCCGGGGCCGCGCGCGCGCGCGGCTGGGCCGGCCGCTCCGGCCACTCGCGGTAAGTCCGGGCGCTCCGAGGGGCCGGGGAGCGGACCTGGGGCCGGCCGGGCCGCTGCGGCCCCCGGGCGTGGGGCTGCGAGGCCTCCTGCGTGGGGTGGAGGGAACACACGCGGCGTGGCCCACCGAGTCGGCGCCCGCCTGCAGCGCGAACGTCGGGCTCCGCGCAGCAGCAGGTGCTCCCGGGCCGCCCCCGGCTCCGCCCAGTCCGGATCGGGGCGGGGATCGTCCGCTTGCGCCGCCCGCACCTCCCGCTCCGGCCCCCGGGAGTTGAGAGCTTGATTGGCTTCCACAAAGTCAAAAGGTTTGGCGCTCCCAAGTTTGTGATTGGCGGGAGTGAGCGTGGAAAACTAACTGGACAGGAAAAGGAAAGGGACGTTAGGGGCAGGGGGTCCAGATTCTGTGCACTTTTTCCCCTTACGATGATTAAAAAAAAAAAAAATGGGCGGAACTTGTATGTTTTTTTTTTAATTTTTATTAGTGAGACATCATGAGGTACAGTTGCAGACTTACACATTTTTGTGCTTGGGTTTCAGTTATACAATGATCAAATACCCATCCCTCCACCAGTGCCCATTTCCCACCACCTCCGATCCCAGTATCCCTCCCACCCCCCATCCCCCCATCCCACCCTGCCTCTGTGGCAGGGCATTCCCTTTTGTTCTCTCACTCTTATTGGGTGTTGTGGTTTGCAAAAGAGGCAATGGGTGATAATCATGTTTGGTCTACATGTTTCCTTATAAGCCACAGTGCCTGGAGACCGCACTCTCTAACTTTCCCTTCGGTAATGCGTACAAACACTCAGATTCTCAGATTCAACTATTTGGTTGCGAATTAAAAATCAGGAAGATCCCCCAAACCAGTGATTTTTCTCAATCCTGTCTCCCCAGTTTGAGGGAAAAATTACTCACAGCCTTGGCCAGGCAACTATCCTTAAACCACAACTTAGGGTCGATTTTTCTGTGTTAACCAATTTTAAAGGAGATTGTATATTCAATTGTATGTTACCTTAGACACTTATTTCAGCGATGGTTACAAAATACTTAAAAATTCATCCTTTAGAATAAATCATCCTTCTATTTCTAAGAGACCCTTACTACAGCATTCAAGTGTCCTCAGAGCCTGTAAAATGAGTTCTCGTCATTTTAACTACTCACATCACAACCTTCCCTCCACTTTTTAGATACTCTTTTATTTAGTGCTATTTCTTCTAATTTTCACTATTTCCATTTTATCTCATTCATGATTCCCTTTACTTTTGATTAACTTGACCTCTTTAATATAAACAATTCAGGGAATTTAGCTGACACGTTCCCTCTGGCCAGTGTTCTTAAACACAAAAGCTAAGTGCTAAACATATTACTGTTACTTGAACAGCGCAATAAACATGAACAGCACTTACAGCATGTAAAAAACTGTGTCATTTCAAACTGACCATTTCCATCTCTAAATTGAACTGTCAAATTAAGAGAAACTGCTTTAGCAACCTAATTGCTAAACAAATTTAATTCTACACAAGTAGATAGCTAATATATTGAAATGTTTCGTTAGTACAATATAAAGTACTATTGATTTTGAACTTATGCTCTTTCCTGCTTATCCTGAAAATTGATTTTTCTATATGAATCCAAAGAGTGCTACTTTGGTAATTCTTTTAATAAAGCTTTATGTATAATTATTAAACTGAGTCCTTCAAATATTATCACCATATTGTGTTTAATCAATACCTATTTCTCTAGATGAGTTTATAACTGGCTACTTAGCTGGAGTGATCATACAGCAGGAAGGGCATTTGCCTTGCATGTGACCCACCCAGGTTCAATCTCTGGCATCCCACAGGGTCCCCCAAGCACTTCCAGGAGTAATTCCTGAGTGCAGAATCAGGAGTAACCCCTGAATATTACCAGGTGTGCCCACCCCCCCAAAAAAATGAAAAGAGGAGGAGAGGGAAGGAGGAGGAGGAGGAAGAAAAGAAGAAAGAAGAGGAGGAGGAGGAGGAGGAGGTATAATTATTTCTTGAAGGTTAATTGTGCTTCATACTTGAAATCGTCTTGATTTTTGCATCCATTATTTCCATATATATTTTTTGACCTATTCTACTTCTTCGCTAAACCCCCCTCTTTGAGAAATTATCAAGTAGTATTGTCGATGTACTCAGATGTCCTATATCAATTATCTACCTCTGCACAACAACACAACACATGCTTAAAATAGCAGTAATGGTTTTTGTTCCTATTCCATTGCGAGAGCCTGAGCAGCCTCTAGGGTGTGGTTTTTCAGCTGCCCTGCTTGGGATCACTCAGACAGTTGAGGACTTCGAGCTTCCAGTTGCAGCTGCCTGATACGGGCTGTCAACCGTGCTGTGTCTCCCAGAGGCTCTGTCACCTGATGGTATCTCTACAAGAGGATAAGCCCCAGTGCACACATGCTATTCAAACTTCACCTTGTGTCATGTTTGCTGATAAACCATTTATCAAACTGAGTCAGTTGGCTAAACCCTGCCAATGTGAAAGTCACACAGTAATCACTGCTGAAAGTGTCAGGAGACATTTCTGTATGTGACAACTTAAGAAATGGAAAAGCCATTCACATCCAGTAGATAAAGACCAGTATGCCAATAAATATTCTGTAACGTGTTGCAATGCCCCCACCCCTCAATAGGGAAGTCACTGTCGCTGTCACTGTCATCCGGTAGTTCATCAATTTGCTCGAGCGGGCACCAGTAACGTCTTTATTCGTCCCTGTCACGTGTTAGTGTGGCCCGATGGCATATTGGGGGCTCTTTCAGGGTCAGAGGAATGAGGACCATCATTGTTACTATTTTTGGCATATCAAGTATGCCACAGGTAGCTTACCAGGCTCTGCTGTGCAGGCACAATAGGGAAGTAGTGACTAAAAATGTCAAGAGAGTGAAACTTAAGAAAATCTGCATGTTAACTCAGAAAGCCACAGAATTCCTGATTAAAAGAAAACCAAGATCAGAATCTTCATCTGTGCATTCAAAGCCTCAAGTCTCTTCTCACCTTATATATCAGTTTCTCTTATTTTAGTTTTCATGAGAGTTTCTGTCGTTTTCCCAAATATGCTATACTTTATTGCATGATCAACTTAATAGTACATTATGATTATTATTTTCATTTTGTTTGGCCCCAAACCCTGTGGTGCTCAGTGTTTGTTCATGACTCTACCCTCAGCGATCACTTCTGGTGGGACTTGGGGGACCATGTGGAATGCTAGATTAAACTGGGCCTACTACCTGCAAGCCAAATGCCTGCCATAGGAGAATGATAGTATCCTCAGGTACAGCCCTAGAACGTTATGTTTATGAAAAAGTGTAAGTGTCAAATATGCATTGTCTTTTCTCACTCTGCCTAACCCCAAGCCGTTTTCTAGCCTCCTTGAATCCTCCTTGAATCTATTCCTCCTGGAATCTGTTTTTACCGAAGTTCCACAAGACTGTTGCTTAGCATGTGATATATCGGACTCAGGGCCACTCCCAATGACACTCAACCCAGTGTTGCTTGAGCCCAGCTGTGCTGGGGACCATTAGCCCCATCAGCCCCAGCCCTACAGCAGTTGCTGTAGTCAATGCCAGTAAGGAAACCTGGATCCTCCCTGTGTGAGGTGTGTTTCAGCCCTAGGAGGTGTCTGACCCAGGAATGCCATTTTCTACACTTTTACTTCCCTTAGGATTTTATTTTCCTACACTTCATTTCAGAATTTCTAATTAGTTTTCCCAATAGCCATTTATTCAACTACATTCTCTCCCCCATTCATTGAAATACCACCAGTAGCATATATTAAAACTATGCTTGTATTCATTTTATACTTTTTGGTCTGCCCTGTTGAGGAATAACTCACATTTTGAAATGCCTCTAACTTACAAAAAGATTCCTAAAGGATGCTTATAAACTTTGTGCTGTTTTTCATATTTTTGTTCATATAAGATGAGGGAGTGGAGGAAACAGTGATATTTCAGATTAATTTGTAAGTAACATGTCCATAAGAACAGTTTATCTGAAATAGTCATGTAAATTAGTAAAAAAAAAAAAGTACAGGTTGATAGCTCATTCATTTTATTTAAAGTGGTAGTTTTCAAATACTGTCCACTGAAAAGGGTTGGAAATCATTTATTGAGAAATAAGGAGTCCTTCATTTATTTGAAATGTAAGATATTTCAAACAAACCACAAAGATACTGAGAAAGCTTCTTAATACCTCGAACAATCTATTCAAGGAAAGACCATGGGTACATAATAGGTCTCTATTTTTTTTGTGTTTTTGGAAAATAAAGAAAATAGAGAAAAAAGATAGTGGAGGCATTTCCTTCCTATTTTAGCATCCAAAAATAGCTAACCAGGAATTTGAGATCACAGAGAGGCCTTTTAGAGCTAATGAATTAGTAGGTAAAGAGAGCTTGTCTACAGTTATCAGATGAATTTTTACAAAAGGCAACTTCTTTCTGGCTGCTTACAGATTTAAAAATCAGAGATAATTTTGTTGGCGATTATTTTCTGAAATTAAAAAATAATTGCAAAAAAGTTTTGTGATCAAATATATTTTGAAAACAAATTAATTTGGAAAGAATTCTAGTATACACTTTTTTGGGGACAAGATTCGTATTAACTGTTTATACTTGTATAATCTAATCGTTCCTATATTTGTCTGTGGGAACCTTTAAGTTTTGTTTTTATTTTGTTTCTGTTTCAATTTCTCTGAGCTTTGCACTGTTATTGATCATTTGAATGTACTTTGAAAAAATGTTATGATGACCAAGCAGGGTGCTGTCCCTTGCTTGGGACAAAATTTACTTTCCTTCTCTACAGTGGAGGAATGAGCTCCACCCCTTGACCTCTCTTCAACCAGGAAATGAAGGTATTTTAAAGAGGCCTTTTGAGGTTTACCATATAAAATCTCCTTTAGGTAAA